GAGTTCAGCTGGGGACAGTGGGAAAGGAGACTGGCTACAGGACGGCTGAACTCCACAGGCAATCATCTTCCCACCCTATCCCCTTTCCAGCTCCATCCATCCCACCAAGAGCCACTTCCATCCAGCAATAAAATCCCCCACAATTACCATCCCTCAATTTGTCTATGTGACATGATTCTTCCTGGGTGCTGGACAAAAACCTGGGTACCAACAGGGTACTGAGTTGGTTAACACTTAAGCCATCTGGAGACAGCAGAGCTAAAAGAGCACTGTAACATGGCCACTGGGGCTTTGGGAGTCGCAGGCACCCATCCCTAGATGCTTCTATGGGGCCAGAGCCCAAAAGCACTTGCCCTGGGCTCCTGCACCTGCCCATCAGCTCCTCCTCCCATAAGGGGTTTTGAGCGTGTGTGGCCAAACAAATGAGCCACACCCCTGCCTGAGGTGTGGGGTCAGAGAAGTCCCTCATTTCAGTTGCATGGGGCTGGGCATAGGGACTGACTGCAAAGGGAGAAAAGAGAACATTCTGGGGGATGGAATAGTTTATACCTTGATAAAGGTCGTGGTTACATCAGAGTAAACATTTGTTGTCAGCATTCATTAAACTGTTCATTTAAAAGCAGTGCATTTTATTGTGTGACATTATTCCTTAGTAAAGTTGATATAAACTTCTTTTTTAAAAGTTACAAACCCTCATATATGTAGCTCCAATCTCCAACCCCAATTTATTCATTTCTTTCAGAACTCAACAAATGTGTATTGAGTACGTACTATCTGCTAGTCTCTATCCTGTGAGATAAGGATACAAAGGTGACAGAGATGGTTCCTGAGGTCATGAATACCACAGTCTAGTCTGGAGGACAAATGTTACATCATCAAATAGATAATGTCATCATTATAACTGCAACAAAGGCTACAAAAGAAATGTACATGAGGTTTTGAGAGCTTATAGTAGAAGTTGACCTAGTTGAGATTCAGATAAGTTGTGGCTAAGTTTAGTTGAGATCTGAAAGATGGAGAGGAGTTGATGCTTGGGGTGTTCTTTACAAAGAGAGAAGAGCAAGTTCAAAAGACCTGTGACAGGAAGGAATATTGCTGTTGAAGGATCTGAAAGCAGGGCAACATGGCTGAAGGACAGAGATGGAGGGGAGGACTGAGAAAAACGTGTTGGAGAGTGGGGCAGGCCAGGCCACAAGGGCCTTCAGACAAAGCTTGGGATCTTGGTATTATCATCAGAGCAATGGAAATTCATTGAACTACAGATAATGGGAGTTGATGAGATCAGCTCTGTGTTTCAAGACAGTCTCCCCAGTCACACTGGGGAGAATGGTTTAGAAAAGAGAGGTGGCATATGATCACAGAGGGAAAAGCTAAGAGGTTCCTGGGGAAGTCCTAGAGAAAGGTACAGATGGGCAGAACTGGACAGATTCAACACAGGCAAAGTCAACCTCAAGGAGGGTTGATGGGGGGAAAGTAGCTTATAAAATTTCTGGTTGGTCCAACTAGATGGGTGGTGGGGGATGGGCAATACAGAGTGGGTCAGGTTTGAAAGGAAGACCCAACATGTGGTTTCAGACCTGTGGGGTTTGAGGCTTCTGAACCATCAAGCTCTTTCAGGCTTTCTTCTCCCTGAAATGCCCTCCCTTAACCACTTTCTGACAGGAGAAACTCCATTCATTAATGGATGCCCAGCTCAGGTCTCACAGGCTCTTTCCTTTTCTACAGATAGTTCATCATTTCTTCTGCATTAGCTCTCCCTCCAGGACAAGCTCCTCTCTTACCCAGAATTGCAATATTCTCTTTACGGACTGTGTTCTCTATTAAGCTGTTGGCTCCCTGGGGGCAGGGCTGTGAATTCATCTTTGCACCCCTAGCACCAGTGCGGTATCACCATAAAATAGCTGATCCGTACATATTTGAGAGATTGAAGTAAGCACATGTACAGCGTTTAGTATTTCCATAGTGCCTTTCTCCTGAAGAGCTCAAGAAGTTACAGAACAGATATGAATATATGTTTGCAAGTAGAAGGTGTGAAAGGTGAGCTATTGCAGGCATTGGGTGAGCGATGAGAAGAAAAGAGGAGATTTTTGCCGTTTACCAGGTCACTGTATAAGTTAGGAATACTTTTGGCTGCAAAATTAGAAAATTCATTCTCAGAGGCAAAAACAAACATGGGTTATTTTTCTCATGTAGGAAACAGTTCATCCAGAGGTGGACAGTTGCACACTGACTCTATTTTCAAGTGTGTTGTCCCAACTGTATTAACCTTTTGGCCTCACCGTCTTTGGCTCTTGGTTGCAGTCTGGTTGTAGCATCACTAGGCATTTCATTTGCATTCAAAGCATAAAGAAAGTGGGAAATGAGCCAGGCGTGGTAATGGATATAAAACACAGTAATCCTAGCACTTTGGGAGGCCGAGTCGGGCAGATCACCTGAGGTCAGGAGTGGAGACGAGCCTGGCCAACATGGTGAAACCCCATCTCTACTAAAAATACAAAAATTAGATGGGTGTGGTGGCAGGTGCCTGTAATCCTAGCTACTTGGGAGGCTGAGGCAGGAGAATCTCTTGAACCTGGGAGTCAGAGGTTGCAGTGAGCTGAGATGGTGCCATTGCACTCCAGCCTGGACAACAAGAGTGAAATGGTGGTGGTGGAGGAGGAGGAAGAGGAAGAGGAGGGAGGACGGAGAGGGGGAGGGGGAGGAGGGATCAGGGAAGGAGGGGAAGGGATAGGAGGAGGGGAGGAGGGGAAAGGGGAGGAGGGGGAGGGGGAAGAGGGAATAAGAGAGGGAAGGAGGGGATGGGGGAGGGGAGGAGGAGAAAGAAAAGAAAGTAGGAAATGGAAAAGCAGAAACAGAAAATTTCTTCAGCAGTTCCCCCATCAGACCCTTCTTTCAACTCATTAGCTAAAACTGGGTCAATGACTTCCTTAGCTGTAAGAAAGTCTTGGAAATCAGGATGGGGACTGTCAAGGTAGTCTTGGATCAATCACAATCCTGGATTCTGTCACTAGGGAAGAAGGAGAGAATGGGTGGGCAACTGGGAAGACACTCACAGTGTCTGCCACTGAACAAATATCATCTACCAGTAATAGCTAGTGCCTTCTTGAAGTCATTTCATCCTAGTGGAGCTGGAGGAAATGAATTCCTCTCTAACGTCCATAGGAACAAGATGCTAATGGCAGTGTTACTTCGCATGGATATAAAACACTGGGCATCTGAATGTAACGCCTCTTGAAGCTTTCAGCCCCGATGTCCAGAATGATGTCTCACTCAGCACCTCCTCTTACCTACAACCAGGCATTTTTAAAAACAAATTCTTGGGCCGGGCGCGGTGGCTCACGCCTGTAATCTCAGCACTTTGGGAGGCCAAGGCGGGTGGATCACGAGGTAAAGAGATGAAGACCATCCTGGTCAACATGGTGAAACCCCGTCTCTACTAAAAATACAAAAAATTAGCTGGGTATGGTGGTGCATGCCTGTAATCCCAGCTACTCAGGAGGCTGAGGCAGGAGAATTGCCTGAACCCAGGAGGCGAAGGTTGCGGTGAGCCGAGATCACGCATTGCACTCCAGCCTGGGTAACAAGAGCGAAACTCCGTCTCAAAGAAAACAAAAACAAATTCTTTGATCCAATCCAGCACCTATCCGTCTTTTAAGATAAATAACAGGCTTTCCATTCAACTGGCTCATGCTTGAGCTGCTCAGCAGAGCTAATGGGAACTCTCCAGGCCCATGTCAATGTCTTCTCCGGTTTGACTTTTCTTCCTTTTTGAATGAGAACACTAGTGGTTATTTATTTAGTGAGCTTGAGCCCTGGAGGTCCAGAGAAGGAGCGTGGCTGGGTCATGTTTTGGGGTTTTGGGTTTTGTTTTTGTTTTAGTAACAACCACCCACGTAAGAGGATTTATGAATTTTATGTTGGAGAATTGTTCTTCAGGTTTCATGCCTGTGCTCATCTACTATGATTCTAAAGGAGGAATATAGCTCAAACAGGTGGAAAGGAAGTGCTTCATCAGCTCCCACTTGCTACACATATACCCTTCTTCACCTAAATCAAAAGAGAAAACCATGTTTTTGACGACACTGGAGTGAAAGACATCAAAAGTGTATTATGAATCCTTGCTATAAACATAAGCCGACACATTGCCCAGCTACAAACTTGAGTAATTAAGAGATCAGCTAAGGGCTGCTTGGGGAACATACTTTGACTGCAGCAGCTACAGAACCTGAACCTGAAGACAGGTCGTAACCCATGTCTGAGGTCTTCCATGCTGGCATTAACTGCTCCCTCACCTGGGTCCCCAGCCTTTCACACAGGCCTCAGCAGAGCGCTGAGTGCAGGTTTCTCCTCTTCTCCAGACCAGCAGCTCCTTTAGTTAGAGACCTTGCCCTAAGGCCCTGCAGAGTGTCTGGTTCATGGCAGGTATTCAAATATGGAGGCTGAGTGAACAGTCCACGTGTACCTGCTTAGCTCCTCCACTAGCAGGAGTGCCTATGATATGGGAAATACAGAATCCTCACCAAACGATCACAGCACCTCCAGAAATGCATTCAGCCTCAGACAAACTTTCTGCATTCTCCAAGGGCCTGAACACAAAGTGTGACAGGAGCAAGGTTTTCTTCAAACCTCAAGCTTATTTCAGGTTTGTTTTTGTTTGTTTGTTTTGTTTCGTTTTGCTGAGAAAGAGTCTCACTCTGTCGCCCAGGCTGGAGTGCAGTGGTTCATTGCAACTTTGGCCTCCCGGGCTCAAGCGATCCTTCCACCTCGGCCTCCCGAGTAGCTAGGACTAGAGGGCGCCACCACACTCGGCTAATTTTTGTATTTTTTGTTGTCTCGAATCAATCACAATCCTGGGTTCTGTCACTAAGGAAAAAGGGAAGAATGCGTTGGCAATTGGGAAGACAACTCACCATGTCTGGCCTGGCTGGTCGAACTCCTGACCTCAAGTGATCCGCTCGCCTCGCCCTCCCGAAGTGCTGGGATTACAGTCGTGAGCCACCGCGCGAGGCCATATTTCAGTTTTCAGTCAGCTTTCTCCTCCCTCGGGCTTCACCTGGGACTTCGATCTACCTCCCCAGGCTACCCGGATAATTCTCTCAACACCCGGGTAATTCACGCTAACTCTTCAGTTCTTCTCGTCGACGTCAGCTCCTCAAGAAGCACCCCTGACCTGCCCCCTACCCCAGGTCTGGATCAGGTGACCCTCTGTGCCACGCTCAGTAAGTCTCTGACCGCCTCCGCTTGGTTGTGTTCCAATCGCCCATTTGTCGTTTTCTTTTTCTAGACTGTTAACTCCACGAGGGCAGGAGGTAATCTTGTTCTCTAGTCCCCACGGCTAATGACGCCGCCTGGAGCTTAGTGAGGGCTCAACATTTTGGAATAAATTCAAGAGTGGCGTGTCCCCACAGTGGCTGTGCTGACTGGGCCGTGCGTCACCCGCACATTTCCTATCTGGAGAATTACAGCCTTAGGCCCCGGTCTCCCCTCAGCCGAGACTTGGGACTCTGTACCTGAGAGGCGCGCCCTGCAACTAGGAACCCGCCTCCAGGGTCCCAGGGCGTCCCCGCCCGCCCTGGCCGTGTTCCTGCCGCGGGGCGGCCGCGGCTCCCAGGCAGGAGCCTGCGAGCAGGTGGGGGCGACGGCCCCGCCTCCGCGTCCCGGCAGCACCAGAGCTGGCGGCCGGGGAACAAGCCGAGCGCACCGAGCGCAGCACGGAGCACAGCTCGGCGGTAGCGGCGCCGCCTGGAGCAGGGGAGCTGCGGGACGGAGCCCAGAGTCGAAGACGTCTGCCGGAGCTCGAGTCCAGTCCAGCCCCCGGCTCGCCACCTGCAGGTAGCGGCTCCCCGCGCGGGTGTGGGTCGGTGCCCGAGGGTGGAAGGAACCGGCAGTGTCGCGGCTGCTGCCCTGGCCGGTCCCGGAGCGGAGTGGCCAGGCCCGGGACAGGAATCCTGCGCGCGTGGGAGGGCCGGGGTACCCCAGCTGGGCTGCAGTCCCGGGCCCGGGAGGTCGTCGATGTGCTGCGCGGCGCTCACGCCCCCCACCCGCTCCCTGCCGCGCCTCCCGGGCCGGGCCGGAACCGCACCGCGGGGTGGGGAGAGAGGTCACCGAGGGGTTGTCTGATGACTTCCCCGGACCAGACTCTTCGGTGAGCAGCCCCTGGCGCCAAGGCCGCCTCGGCCTGGTCCTTCGCGACGCTGTCTCTTCTCCGCTTCACCCCCAGAACAAAAGGCTGGGGTCTCGCTGGGGAGGGGGCTGTCGCGGGAAGAGCCGGGGCGGAGTAAAGGAGAACTAGGAAATTGCAGAACGGGAGGTGGCCTGGGGGATACGGAAGGAGCCCCCTAGTGAGGAAACCAACTCCAGAGATGTGAAGTGACTTGTCCAAGGTCACACAACTCGTGTAGGCAGAGCGCAGGTCTCTGGACGCCCCTCCTGGTACTCATCTCCAAGCCCCTGGCGTCAGTAGTCAGACTGTGCTCCAGAAATGCAATTTGGCCACAGATGGGTTTACGGTCCTTTGGAGGTTTGGGGGTGGGGGGTGCGAGGTAGGTGGCAGAGCCGATTTCCCCTGGCTCCTGACACGCATTCCCTGGAGGTGGCAGGCAGGACCGGTACCCGGCCCTGGACCTGGAGGAGGGCGGCCCGGGCCCCCGTGGGTAGCCAGGCACCGGCTCTCAGGAACAGTGCCTTTGGAGGGTGGCAGTGCCAGCCGCGTAGGTGTGCCCGTGGCGGGCGCCGGGACGGCGTGGGGACAGTGTGTGCGCCTCCCCCTGGAAAGATGTTCTGCAAGGAAAGGTTGGGAGAGCAGTTCCAGGTGCCTTGGGACAGTCTGGCCGATCCCTGACACTCAGGGTGCTTTGTAACTGGCTGCACTGGGGAGGAAAGTTACTCTATAGCAGGAAGTTAGTCTGTCCCTTCGCATCTGTGCCTCGGGTCCTTGGCTGTAAATGAGGGCCTTGTTTAGCATGACCTGTGTAATATATTATAAGGTGTCTGCCCCTCCACTTCCTCCTTTCCAGAACCTTTTCTCACTTCAGAGGAAGGACTGAGAGTGCATTTCTTGTGGCCAGCATTAATAGTTATCATTGGGACTCCTGCCTCCCTTTAATTTTTTTTTTTAACTTTATCATTACGGAAAAGGTCAGAAGAGAGATTCTTCCGGGGCCTTGCAAGGAGATAAACTCCAGGTCAATGCCTGGACAGGACACGAGGAAGGCTTCTGGGATGCTTCTCACCTTGACCTAAGGCGTGGCCACACAGGTGTACACATAGAAAAATTACTGAAGTTATACCGTTGAGTCTTGCACACTTGACTTAGGTCAATTCCGCCTCAGTGAAAAAGTAAATAAAAATGTAATGCTAAAGTCCACTCATTATGGTAACACACAGATTGCTGCAATTTTCCAGCTAATGCATTTTAGAGATACATTTAAAAACCACAAAAACCAAATTAGAAAAGAAGTGGCAGGTCAGGAGGCAGGGAGCAAAAGAAAGTTAAGAAGTAACTGGAAATGAAACAAACACTGCAGATGCCTTTACGTGTATCGTGTATCACCTCCTGTGATTCGCAGCAGTTCTTTAACAGAGATATTGTTATTGTGCCTTTTTTCCAGGTGAGAGAATAAAAAATCACAGAGGTTGAATTATATAGTCAGGGTAATACACAGAATTCACATGCTAGACAGGCAACCTTCTACAGGCAATTTGTGGCCACCTGAATGGGGCAGAGCGGTCTGGATGACAGAGACTTGTAGGCTGGGTTCCTGCCATTGCCCCCTTTTTGTTCCTTTTAGGAGTCTCTGTTTTCATGTAATTGTGAACGTGACACTGTGTCACAGATTGCAGTTAGCCAGCAGCAGAAGGAATGGAGGAAGTGTGTGTGTGTCTAAGAACATACAGTTATAAGAACAGGGGAAACCAGCTGGTCTAGCCTGGCAACACTGTTTTTAGGAGACTTATTGTTCAGAAACCATATAGTACAGGTTGTGAGTTTGCAGTCACTCAAACACATACACAAAGAATAAAGAATATGACCTAGAAAAGACCCAAGAAAACAAAATGTGATTAACTCTAGAGGGAAACATAGAATTTTCACCAGGGAGGCACGGTCAACTTTTTTACGTTCTCGAATTTATAAATATGTTTATTAATGTTGAATTTTTTAAAAACCTACACAAATAGCAAAAAGAAGGAAATGTGTTTTCCAGTAAACATGTTATAAATATTTAATATATTTGGACTTTGGTGCAGAAATATTTAAAACATTAGGATACAGTAGCATTAAATCTACAGAGAAATCCTGAGAATTTTGTCCTAATGTGTGGTTTTCTAGCAATTTTTTTATACTTCTGCCTAATATTCAGAAGTTAAAGAGGTAGAAATGTGTTTGTTTTATTGGCGAGTTCCAAATTGGAGAGTTGAATGTTTGTCTTAGGAAGTTTTGGTGTAGGGAACCTGGGTTAAGGGGAGCAATTTAGGAAGATCTCTGGGCAAGTCCCCTCCGCCCAGTGCCATGAGCATGGATCTGCATCACAAAGTTATCTTTAGGCAAGTTGTGCCTTGTCACAGTAGTGCTTCTGCCATCTGGCTGCTGGAATATTTAGAAAAGAATCGTAATGTTTGACTGACTTTGCCGACAGTATGACAAAACAAACTTCGATGGGGAACTATTAAATATGAGTTAGAGTTGGTGAGAAAATGATTAATTGCTTGTTTTTTTTTAGCCACTGTAGAAAACTGGAGACATGCCTTTCCCCAGCCTATGCTGGGCCTGGGCAGCACATGTGTTCTCTCACTGGCTTCAGCCGGTAGTGCGCTTGAAACTCTCCCTTTGCAATTCTAACTGGATCTTTCCTGAGACCTGTTCAAGAGGGAGCCCAACCGTTAGGCAGCAGGGGAATTGTGTAGTGAACTGTGGTGTTCAAGTGCCAAAGAGATAAACTAAAGCAGAGTGAGTGTGACAGAAATGCCCAGCGGGCATTATGTGGGCCAGGCACTGTGGAGGAAGATTTTCAAGTGTATCTTGAAGGAATATTCATCCTATGTGGGTGGCATATTCCAGCTAACACCACATCTAGGTTGGTGGCATCCAGGAGAGACTGCCAGGCCTGCCCATGGACTGAGAGTCAGCTCCTGGTTAGCTAGGAGGAGGCCGTAGTCAGCCTCAGCACTTGAATTTCTGAGAACGTGAGTCAGTGTGAGTGCATGTATGCATCTGAGCAAGGTGCTCATGTTGCCATCCACTGTTCCTTAAGAGCTAATGGCTAGCTAGCCCTGGCCGGGGCTAGGCTAGGAGCTTTATATGTAAGGCATCGCTACAACAGCTCTATAGGGAGCTGATTCTTCTTACTTCGTTATCTAAGGAGAGACAGAGGCCAAAGGCTGGCTTACTGTCAGAATGATCATGTCGCACCTTGCTGTGGTCTTTTCTCAGTTCACTTATAACCCCAAGGGGTCCCCAACCTACCTGACTCTCTCTTATTGCACCTGAGCTCCTGGAAGGCAGGAGCTGTGTTCACTTCATCTCCATTCCCAGCACCTGCCCCATTCCAAAGAATAAATGACTGTAAATGGATGAATGCGTAATTGTGTGAGTGAATGAATGAATGAATATCTGGAAGGATGTTCTAAGATCAAAAGCCAATTATTTGTTTTGTTTTATCTGTTGTTTGAGCTTTCACTGTCTCATTCCCTTTTGTTGATATGGCTCATCAGGCATAATTGTATGGATGAAATTTACAATAAGTATCTCCTTTAGGGCTCAGCCTATAAGATCAGAAAGCCTCTGCCTCTTTAACGAATTATTTCTTCTTTTGTATAACTTATGTAAGTCAGAATACCTGGACTATTTTGCATGAATCTTGCATGCATCAATTATGTACTATATGATCTTGGGCAAATTACCTACTCTCTCTCTTTTTGTTTTCTTGTCTACAGAATGAGGATAATAATAGTATTTATCTCATATTTAAGGCTAATAAGATAAGTTTATTTTGTTTTTTGTTTGTTTGTGTGTTTGAGACAGGGTCTTGCTCTTTTGCCCAAGCTGGACCGCAGTGGTTTGATCACAGCTCACCACTACCTCCAAATCCTAGGCTCAAGTGATCCTCCCACCTCAGCCTCCTGAGGAATTGGAACTATAGGTTTTTAAAAATTGTTTGCCTTAAGTGATCCGCGTTCCACAAAGTGTTCAAAGAGTTTACAAAAATAGATAGTAAACAACATAAAATCAAGAGATAATGAAACTGAGGTCAAGGGAGCACCCTGGTTAGAAAGTGAGATAAAGTCAGAGGCCGTTTACAGAAGCAGAATAGATGATTAGGTGTGGATAGTTTTCAGAGGTAGGAGTAAAAATTTGTCAGAGCTTCCCAGTGGCCAAAACAAAAAAGAAAACGTAAATAGTTACTTAATCCACAGTGACCATGAGATAAAAAGAGATCAGTTACACAGCTTTTCCTGGTCCTGAAACCCTGGATAACTTTCTCCTGGCAGATCTTCAGTGCATTCACTGTTGCCATAGAGACCTAAGTCTTCAACATCATCTTTGCCGTGAAGACAATGGAAGTGCTATGGTAAAAGGCAAAAGGAAGTGTTTCCGATAACTTTCCTGACTGCAGTTCTGGAGATATAATCCCACAGAGCTCAGTAAAAAGCTCTTTGCAGGGCCAAAAAAACTGTGGTTCAGGGACATTCTGTATTCTTAGCTATGTTTACTGAGTGCCTGGAAGAGCCAAAAGAGTCTTCCTTCCAAAGATTGTAATTCTTGTGAGAGTCAGGTAGTGAACGAACTCATCTTTAAGAACTTTGGATCTGGCTGAAGCCATTTAAATGAGTCA